CTCCACCAATATTACTAGATTGAAATTTTGATTTCTTGCTTTTAGTAGCAATTTTTACAGTGGATTTCAACGTTTTTTCCCCTGTATAGCAAACCTTCCTATTCCAGGACTCTTACCTAATTTAATGTGGAAATAGGGAGGTCTTTGAAGAAGGATTATGACTGCAAAGCACAAAACTTGGCAAGGAGACTTGATTCCAAGGCAACATGGAGTGCTTTATACAGAAAATAAGCACAAATACCATGGTTTTTAATAGTTTATCAGCATACAACAGGAGGGCCAACCTTTTTAACAAGTGTACCACAAATTAGCCTCACACTGTCCCCAAGTGCCACTCTGATCCCCTTCCTGTCCTATCTGCTGCTGTGTTGTCTGTCCCCTCCCTGATCTGCCACATACCACACACACAAGCTGCCTGTACCATTGTGCTGCAGGTTAGCTGCCCAGCATACACCATGGTAGTGGGGGCAGCAGCAGCAAACACCACCACCACCAGCATTCCATCTCCCAGATAAGGGCCCAAATGAAACCCAGTTAAATATTCTCTGGCTACCACCTTACCTGTATAAATTGCAGCCCAACTGACTTCTGGTTTTGGTTTCTGAAGTCACTAAGTTTGCCGTAAGAGCCTTTCAAGTGGTGCCAAAAGTCCAGCTGAACTGTAAACCTCTCTATGCTGGATCACTTATGTGAACCAACAAAGTCAGCCCCACACCTTGGGCCTATAGAGCTGAAGCATAACCCTTCTGTGCGGGTCAGGTAGAGCTGGAGTAGTAGCAACTTTCCTTAGGCACATATTAGTGACTTGGAACCTGTGATCCTTTCTTTAGTCCCCATCTCTGGAACCTGCTTTCCCAGATCCCCTCCCACATTGCTGCATTTGCAGTTGTCTTCTGTCCCATCCATAAGCGAGTTTCACTCCTTGTTAAACAAACTTGCTTTAGACCCATACACCAATATCTTTGGACAGGAGAAGTCCTCTGCACACTGTGCAAGGTCTCTTTGCTGCCATGCTTCTCAGATGCCTGAAAATCTAAAGATGACCCATAGTCATCTTTGAAGATTTGTTTCAGAGACAATTCCATTTCAATTGTTGGAGATCTTCCCTGTTCCATTATGCAACATGAATCATGTGCTAATTGCAGTAGCAATGAATAAGATACAAGCAGGAGGTCTTTTTAGGAAACACTGTAAAATACTTTATTTGATAAAAATACCTTTACAATTGGAACAAAAATAATACAGTTTTGCAATGTTCTGTACATTTGAATTCCTGCTTCTCTTCAGAGGCCACTCTCTCTCACACACAATCCTATTACATTTCAGTCTTTCTACTGCTCCCATCTCTATAGCAGCCTGCTACTACAGTGACAATGCAGAGGATCAGCTTCAAGAGAATTTCTTAGCTTAAGAGCCCTGCATTCATTAGCATGAATCTCCACATGGTGTAAAGAAACATTCTACAGTGTTCTTGCTTCAAGGCAAGACATTTGGTAGTAAAGACACTTTGATTTTGTCATCACCTGTTAGCAACATTACTGACAAAATTAAAGATGAGGTTTTAGATCCAGTGCTAAGTGAATGGTTCCCCAAAAGGAAACCGTTTTTTCCTCCCTTCCTTACAGATGTGATCGAAGACTGAGCTTCCATCATGCTCATTACTCAACATGCCCAACTGCCCTCACATACACCCCCAACCTTCCCATATCTTCTTGGCCTGGCTGAGGTGCAAACACCAGTCACAGGCCATGCCATTACTGTACTTTCCCAAAAACAGTTCTCCCACCATTATTAGTCACCATTTCACTTATCTTAAAACCTCACCTTTAAAAAGGAAACTTCCTCCATCCCCCAGCAAAAAAGAGAGGGAATAACAGAACATTTAAGGATTATTTTCAAGTTTCTTTTTCAAAATAAGGCAGCTAAGACTACAGGCAAACATACCTTTTAACTGCTTTAAAGGGGAAAGGGGAGCTCCCACTTGGTAGTGTTGTTATGACATAACTGTTAGGTCTGCATGACCCTGTAGCAACAAGAGTTAGCTAAATCACTGTAACTAACTCAGAATGAGACAGGGTTAAAGCTCCAATAGTTTTGCTACACTTGCATTTCTACAGAAGTATGTAGATTTAACAGCTCATAACAGCTTATATCAGTATTCTTTGATAACAGTACAATTGTTGTCAGTCTCTACCCTAATGAGATACCTATTTAAAGGCCAGCAAAGACAGGCCCCAGAAACATCAGGATCAAGATTTCAAAACCCAGGAAGTTTGGGGGAATGTAAATACAGGGTTTTAATTCTCTGTCAAGCCTAAACGGGAAGAGTCAACATCACTCTAGGTGGGATAATTAGTTCATGCGTGTTCATTCTCTGGACCCCTCTACTAGCACACCAGTCTCATAGATTTGGCTTCCAGTAAGTTTCACTGCACAGGTACCCACAAAAGGCTCTGTAAACTTGTGATGAAAAATGCTAAATGAGCAGAGTGCTAGCCCATAGTTCTGGTGGGGAACACTTTGGGTAGCTCGATGCAAGCGTGTTTTAAATAGTTTTACAAGCAGGACATGTAGATACCCTTTCCACCCCTGAGGAAAGTGGCAGTCTGGGATTGACATCAGGCTGCAGAGACTCCTCCCTGATTGGTTCCCTTAGCATTATGTTCAATGTTGTTTGGTGACTGTTAACCTCTGTTCTGAATACTATACTTTTTACAAGGGATCTTGGCTGCAGCCATATCGGTCTAAGCAAAAAGGCAGACAAACTTTTTGGGTAGAGGTGATATCTTTTATTAGACCAACTAAACAGTTGCAACAACTTTTTTGCAACTATTTAGTTGGTGTAATAAAAGATATCACCTCTATCCAAATACTTTTGCAATACAATTTTGTTGTGAGTTGACTGTGCCTGAGAGGAAAGAGAGCCTCAAAGAACTGGACAGTAGAGAAAGGGCAGTCCTAAGGAGGACAGAAAGTTGCAGAGAAAAAAAAAAAAAAGTAGTCCCGGGGAGAACAGAGAGGGTCTGAGTGAGGACAGAGAGAACTGCAGTGGCACAATAAAGACTGCTTGTTTAGAGATGAACAGTCTGCTGTGCTGTTTGGGATGTCGGCTCTTTCTCCTGCCCCCACTTTTGAAGAAAACAGCTCCCTTATCAGAAGCTGATAAAAAGGAGCTCTCTGAGGTGGGGGGTTACAGATAACCAGGGAAACTACACCAGGGCTTTAAGGGGTCCTATGGGTGAAGGAGATCAGGCAAGGCTTCTTCTTGGAGAGTCCCAAGGCAGAGCTTCCTTCCCTTCAAAAGTAGTGTGATCCCACATCAAAAACTAAAAAACAGTATTCATCCCTCTTCTGCAGACGAGCCAAGGAGAGCCTGAGGCTCACTTGGGGCTGATCTACTTCTGAGGATGGATCATGTCTCTCCCCAACTAGAGAGGAAAGGGAGAGGGAAATAGCCTGCCTCTCCATCATACCTGTAAAACCTCAATTGCACATAAAGTTGCTTCTGCGGGTTCAGTGAATAAACACACTATAATCAGCTGGGTCAGAAGAGAGTCAGAGGAAGAGAAGTGACCTTAGCTTCCCCTATCAGGATTCCCAAGGATTCACCCCCTTTCTCCCCTGCTCTCCAGCTCCTTATTGTACTGCACAGTGACAGGCTCCATTCTTGCAGCTTGCCACAGATTTATTCACTCTCCCGAGAGACCCAACTTAAGATAAAACAGGCTAATTTGAATCCTAGCCCTACCCTCCAGCAATCCACTACCCCTCCACCCCCGGCTTGGTGTCATCTACAAACTTGTTTCCCTTCCCAAGTTTCTCCAGTGCACAGAGCAGATACCTCAACAAATTGAGATGGGACCAAAAGAAGCCTCCTGTGGTTCAGTAAGGACAGTTGTGAAGTCATGCACTTAGAATGCAACAACCCCATGCAGGCTGGGGGCTAACTGGCTGGGAAGCAGCTTTATAGAAAAGGACCTGGGGATTACAGTGGACGATAAGCTGAATATGAGCCAACAGTATGTCCTGGGAGATGCCCAGAAGACAAACAGCATACTGGGCTGCATTAGTGGGAGTGTTGCCATCAGATTGAGGGAAATGATTCTTCCCCTTTATTTGGCACCAATGAGGCCAAATCTGGAGTAGTGTGTCCAGTTTTGGGCCCCCTACTACAGAAAGGATGTGGACAAGTTGGAGAGAGTCCAGCAGAGGGTGACAAAAGTGGGTCAGGGGGGAGGGCACATGACTTCTGGGGAGAGGCTGAGAGAACTGGGCTTATTTATTCTAGAGGAGAAAAGACTGGGTGCATCTATATGTTCAATTAATGCACATTAAATCCAGTACCTCCACGTACTTATACACAATATAAGCCTTTGTGGAGGCTGCTCCAAAGCACTGGAATTCCAAGGCACTGGAGCAGACTGAATTCATCAAATCTGCTGGAGCATGGCAATTACTGTGCTCTGGCGTCCTGTGTTTCAGCTCAAATGAGCTTTAGTTAAGCGCCCCTGCCACCATTTTTAAGTATGGAGACGCATCAGCACTTTAAATTAGAGCAGCTTTTGAAGCCACTCTAATTAAAACGCCACCCCTCCCACCCCCAGAGCACATGTAAAAGTGCCCTCCATTGTGAGGTACTAAAAAAAAAAAAAATACACATTAGCTTATTTTAATGTGCATTAGCTAAAGAGCATGTTTCCTTGTGATGTTTTAACATGCATTATAATAGATTAATGCGCATTAAACTGCATGTGTAGACATGCCCACTTAGGGGGGATTTAATAGCAGCCTTCAACTACCTGAAGGTTGGTTCCAAAGAGGATGGAGGTAGACTGTTCTCAGTGGTGACAGATGACAGAACAAGGACCAATGGTCTCAAGTTGCTGCAAGGGAAGTTTAGGTTAAGTAGTAGGAAAAGTCTCATGGGGGGGAGGGCAGAAAAGCACTAGAATAGGTTACCCAGAGAGGTTATCATCCTCAGAAGTTTTCAAGACCTGGCTAGATAAAGCCTTGGCTGGAAAGATCTAGTTGGGACTGGTCCTGCTTTGAGCAGGGGGTTGGACTAGGTGACCTCCTTAGGTCCATTCCACCCCTAATTTTCTATGATTCTATGAAACCCTTTGTCAAGCCAGAGACCAGGCAAGTGCTAAGTTCTTCAGAAGCAAAAGTCACAGGTAAGGTTTTCAGAAGGATCAGACTTGCTTGTCAGCTAAGTGAAGGACTTCATCTGCTGGTAACTTGTCAAAAGGAAAAATGCCAAAGAAATGAGCGTTTTGAAGACTAGCTCACTGCTGATAACTATTACATTGTAAGTAAGGGCCCAGTCACAAACCCCAGGAGCCATTATGGCAACAACTGAAGATCTGCCCCCTCCCCCAAAAAGAAAAAAAAACCTGATGTCAGTTTTGTTCTCTTCTTAGTATTTGACCCTGGCCCCCTCCACAGCAGTTCAGGGTCAATGGCTTTGCATCACAGGAGTCCAGAGTCCAAAAGGATAAGAGGCTAGAGGACCTTCCCTGGTCCACGGGATCAGCATTCTCTATGCCAGAGCGCACATTAGCTTCCCTCTGGAACTGTATTATCTTAGAAGTGAGAGAACACAAACTTTCACAGTGCAAGAAAACATTGCTGACAGCCAACTCATTGATGCCAGCAAGTTAATCCAGAACACATTAAAGCTCTTGAGGGAAGTTACCCATGACCAGCTATGTCTTGCAACACCAGCAGCTGGAATGACTCAACAGGCAGAAATAGCACACTCAGGATGAGGAAATGCATATATACAGACATAAATCTAAAGTGTATTTAGTGCTCATTGGTGTGCATCTGACAGCACAGGACAGGCACCATGTCTTACTCCTAATCTGCAGCACCCTCTGCTATTCCAGCCCTGGGCTCCCTGCACAGCTCTGCCAATGCCCTGCATTGCTGCCCTGCAGCACAGCTGGATTTGTCTTGCTCAAAGACTGGCAGATGTACAACGGTTACATTTATACTCTTATATCCTTATATTTAAGGATGATATTGAGAGTCACGTGCCAGGACTAAGATCTCACTAGACTTTCATTTCTTGAGCAAACTTGTTGTACCTCCCCACACATGCAACTGAAGTATAAAAGGCATATGAGAAGGTACTTTGTTCTTACTTACGTAAGATCTAATTAAATAACTTTTCCTTCTAAAGCAAGCTACTAATATAGTATAAACACACTTCAAGTACAATTCAGATTGCCTTGGAA